AAAAACATCGCATACCTGCATGTGATACATATTATGCAGTTCGACGGCCTGGTCAGATGGAAAATTTTACCCCGTAGACCGCCGACCACCGAACTCGTGATGACGAGTAATAGATAATGATATAATATACATATACTACCGGCTACACTTGAATACTTGCGGAACTTGCATATTATTATTATTGTACGGAAACGTAATCTCTTTTTGTTTTCGTGTGGACTGTTCCATAAATATCAACATAATTATACAAAATCGAACCGTACTATATTATTATATCATGACGTGATGTAATGTATTGATAACGGTGATGATAATAATAATAATACTACTTATATTACTACTGTATACTATCCGACGCACATTGTGTCCGATGTGTCTGCGAGACCAAAATCCGGTATAGAGTTCGTCACCACAAAAAATTCTACTCCGGAAAATCGATCTTTAAAATCGAGTGTGATGCAAATCGTTTCCACCACCGAATTACCATAAACTGTATTTAATGGTGTAGGTACATTTAAAGAATATAAGTACCTTAAGTTGATATAAATGGTTGAAAACTTGCAATACAAACAAAATAGGTATTACCTATATTTGTATAAATGTATTCATTTATTCTAACGTAACCGCACTAATCATTAAATTATGTACGTTAATCGTTACGAACCATTCATTTGTTATTATCTCAGAATTTGATTATCATGCTGCCGCGATGTTTAAAAAAAAATGCAATTTGTTTGAAGGTGAATTATTAAATAAATTAATAACAAATCCCAAACGTGCCCTTTCCTATTGTACATTAATTGATGAATTATGTCCTCACAAATGGATTTAATAGTTTTATTTTATACAGTAGGTGCTATAAAGTTTAAACATAGAAGTATAGAACAAGGTTAAATTAAAAGAAAAGACCGAATACGGATTGTAGAATTTTTTGGACGACAATATTCCAAGTTAGACGTTTTCAGGGAAAACAATTTTCATACTATACTTACAAGACGTAAAGGTATAACAACACCACCGTACACGTCTTGTATAAGTAGAACTGACGACATAATAATATTTATTACACAAAGACATTTGTTTTAACAAACCAAAACGTGTTTGAATCGAAATAATGTTATTTGTTATATTTTATATTAAATTTGTTTGGTATATTACTCTGACGAACTCGTGGTTTTTTCTTTTTTTTCTATTATATTTCACATTGTTCTTGGAATCTACGCTATTCCAAACAATTATTGTATTTCAATATAGTAGAACGAGGAAATTGAAGAATGTTCATAAATTATATTATATTAGATATACAATATATCCAATAATAGATCCACTTATAATAACTTATATATTATATATGCATGTATCGGACGTTTTCCGAAGGATGAAAATTAATTATTCTTCAGCAATAAGAATCGTAACGTGGGACAATAATCATTTATAGTTTTTTTATAGGTATCGTTATGATAAATAAATAAATCATTACATCAAATGTTTATAAATTTATTTACAATTAAAAAAAAATTATTACTATTTCCTATATGCAATACATATTATGATTATTTTGTAAATTACATAATTTAATGTCTGTAATTCTTTAGGTATAATCTTAATACTTTTTTGTTTGTTTTTTAATACGATTATAAATTAACCAAGAGTTATATTATAGTAAACAATTAAAACTTTTAATTTATTTTCTGGAGGGTATGATAGATAAGAATTATTTTTAACTATACGGGGGGACACTGTAATATAATGAGTATTGTCAGCAATTCTAACCAATGATTTATTAATGTTTTTATCTAATGAACTTTGAATGAACATCGGTTTACTCCAAACATTATTATCGGCGTCTATTATCCAAAATGGATTTATGAAAACAAATTAAATTTCCAGATTACGAAATACGGAAACTGCCACTGTAATCACTGATTAATGGGCTTCTAAAATACTTTGGTAAAATGGATTTGGACCATTCATCCCTAAATATAGCTATAAATATGATAACATTTTTATCTGTGAACCTCTCTTAGATAACTACCGAACCCGTCCCGACAAAATAAAAACGTGTTCGACAAATTTGTTTTACATTTATATAAACTAGAATACGTATTATCTCAAATTTAATATCGTTTCATTTTCCCGTACTCCTGTTGGCAAATGATCAAATTATTCTACGCATAAAATTTGCATAGTATAAATGTACAATTATATATAGGTATTTATTTTATTTGTTTGTTTGTTTTTATTTAAATATAGGCCATCGATACTAATAATTGTCTTATTGAACTTTACGTTTTCACTAAACCTCTTATTATAACAGTTTTGTTTATTCAATTTTAGATTTTATTGCTAAATATTATTCTTTTTTTGTTAGATATTATGCTTTTATTAATTATCTATGCTCTATTTGTATGTGTAATCTTAAAAATAATAATCATCCTACAAATGTAATATAAATGTTCCCTTGTCTGTACTAAATAACTTAAAATAATTTGTATTCGATATCAACACAAAAATGATTATTAATTCGGTATATAATATTATACTAAATTACTAATAATATGTAATAAAGTTTTTTTTGTATACCTACTAATACTATACATAATATTTGTAGCTGTAATAACACCTGACTATCGTTGTATATTTAAAAATAACGAATAAAACAAAACATTTAAATTTCTTAAACACCTTTTGGTAGTGGTATATTATTTACTTATAATAATAATTAATATTAGATTATAGCTCAATTATTTAAGTTCATAATTAAATTCTTCGTCAGTTAACTAAAATCAATGATAGTGAAAAAAATAAAACAATTTTACAATTAAAACACTAGTCCATGCCTAATATTTTGGTTTAAAAACACTGATAATATTTGTATCCTTCGTAAATGAATAATGTATAAAATAAATATGTCTTCATAACTGTTAAATTATATTGTGTTAAATGTTCCGATATTTTACATTTCATCATTTGACATCCTAAATTCTTAAATATAATGTTATAGAGTCATTAAATTGCAATCAATTAATATGCCTATTGGAAACACAAATAGGCAATAGCGTTTTTTATCGTTGATTTTACCAAACCAGGTTTGGTCAACTAAATAAATACACGAAATCAATCAACTAAAATATTTTGGTCTCATAAACATAGTGTTCTTCAACATTATAATACTGAATTCAATACATTTTAGTATCTATTGGTCAAATATAATATTACCTATATTTTATTTTGCAGTTTGCGCAAATTATGATCCTTCAATATAATATATTATAATAATAATATAATATAATACATATTATGTATAAATAATTTTTTTGAGAGGTTGTCGTTGCCTCTGTCTTATACATACGCGTGATATAACATATTTACGTGCCTGATTCTTACTACAATTTATTTATTATAAATGTTAGTGCAATTTACATATCATCGAATTTATAAAGGAGAAAATAAACTGTACTCGAACGAACAGTTGTTTTCTTCAATTTTTTTATTTTATGATGAGTTATAAGTACTTGCTTGAATTGAAATTTCATATTATTCGTTTTAAAATCATCATAAAAAAAAACTCTGCTCGGGCACAGATTATATTCTCCTCGACAAATTTGATGTTATACATTCGCGGATACGACGTCCTTTTATTAATATAATAATTTATACACATATTTTTTATCAGGTATAATTTAATTTAATAAACTAGACACGTAATTCTAATTGATTTCTAATTAATAAACTTTTATATTTTGTATGTCGATTTTATTTAATATGATTACTATATTATGTATTCACAAGAATCTTATTCAGTTGACGAATTCTTTTTATAATGAGAGTTTGATGACCTGATGTCTTGATACATATTATAATAACATTATAGACGGGTATCGTAGACAGTATTATTATTTAATATGCATAATAATAGTGTAGGCACTATTTATTAGTGTACCTACAATTTTATTGTTACAATAGTTGCATAATGCAAACGGAACATAATATCACATATTCTGTAAATATCTATTTAACAGTTTTTAGGTAAATGTCTTTTCATTTTGCGTACAGACTATTTAATTAAAATACCTACGTCTTGTTTTTAAAATAATATACCAATATACTAATTTTTAAAGAAAGCCGTGCAAAATAAAATTGTGATATTTAGTAATACGGTTTTAAATTTTTAATAAATAATGCATACCAATAATTTGGTTTTGATACTTTTTAATATGAAATAAATTATTTAACTAAAGTTGTTTGTTTTACCAAACACCAACTAAAACTGATTATACCATGCTGTAGTAAAAAAGAATAATTATATGCATCTACAGTAACTATATTATAATGCTCAAACGCGTTACGGGTACATGGTTTATAGCGATAAGCAATTCTATAGGGGTTAAAAATGTCAAAATTATCGCATTACATTATTTATAATCGCCCCCCTATCTATCAGTATTAACAGTCAGATAAATACCAAAAGAAGAACATCGGAAACCTATTACTTCCGTTTAAAATAAATTATATTCATTTAAATCGTCCTAACTATATTCTATAGTTATATTTTTTATTTGGATCAACTATCATTTTATAATGAGTTATTTTAGGTTAATAAATTGATTTGGCTCTTTGGTTTTTATTAAACTACTTATTATTTTTAAAAATACAAATCAAATGGACTTGTTTTAAACTGAACTAAAATTAACTGACCATATTTGATCCATAGTTATAACTTATAAATGTATAGTTTAATACTATAATAAAATTATTCCGATAATAAAAATTATCTGCTTATAAACACATAATATTATAATAGCTACGTTTATAATGACTAAACAATAGTTGTCAGAATTTGTTAATTATATGAATTTGCATTCCTAATAATTTCAATAAAATATTAATATTGTCAATATTATCTGTTACAGGTGAATTTTTCCATCAAGTGTTGTGATCAAAATTTGATACACGTGGCAAAATATTATTAAAAATTATTTACATGAATCATAGTGAACATGTCACAAAACAATGGACAATCCCAGAGGTTTTGCCTCCGATGGAACAACCATCAATCCAACTTGCTTGCTGTTTTCGATCAACTATTGACGAGCGAGGCATTTGTAGATGTGACATTAGCTGTCGAAGGTCAAATGCTTCGTGCTCACAAAATGGTTCTTTCAGCATGCAGTCCTTACTTTCAGGTATTTATTTATATATATTTTTTTTTTTTTAATGTTTCAAAATGTTCATAATATTTTTTTTTGTATAGACACTTTTTGTTGGACACCCTGATAGACATCCAATTGTAATACTCAAAGATGTTCCACTAGTTGATATGAGATCTTTATTAGATTTCATGTACAGGGGCGAGGTAATTAATTGTTGAGAATTATTTTATATCATTTAACAGCAAAATTAAACATGCAAATTTATTTATTTATTTAGGTAAGTGTTGATCAAGATAGATTGTCAGCTTTCCTTAAAGTTGCAGAATCATTGCGAATCAAAGGTTTAACTGAGGTCAATGAAGATCGTGGAGACTTACCCTCGTTAGCTTCTTCTCTTCTTCAGTCCCACTCATCGTCTCCGTCCTCTTCTCCAGTACACAACAACCAAATGGCTCATGTGCCTCAACTTCAACGCATACATAACCATAGTCCTCTACCTTTGAAAAGACCACTGCCATCGCATCCGCTTCACGATCAACAGCGTCAACATTTGTCATACCCGATGAACCCGCTATTAGGATCTGCACTAACTGCACCAAAAAGGAAACGTGGACGCCCCAGGAAATTATCTACAGGAAGTAATTCACCTTCACGACCAAATGACAATAATAATGATGATAGTAGAGCATCTACACCAGTTGGTACATGTGCAGGTAAGCTTATAGAAAATAATAATATATTGTGTCATTGCAATATAATTTTTAAATATAATTATAAGTATAAGTGGTGTAATATGGTAATATGGATAATGTAGGAAGTGGCCGTGATCCGCCAGATTTGTTAGAGTTGAACATGTCTGAAGAATCAGAATCTGCTGCAGCTGCTCCTAGACATTTGGATTCTCCAAGCCAAGATGATCACGAAGACATGGAAGAAGAGTATACAGAAAATGGAATGGAAATCAAACAAGAGCCTACTGAACCAGTTCCAGGAACATCCCAAGGTAAATTATTTTAGCTTCGCAAACATACTATAATTTTTATAGCTAGGATTTTGATAAGAAAATAGAATATTTTATTTAACTTATAAATATTAAACTTGTGTCACTATGTTTTACATATTATAATACATAATTTATGTTTGTATTTTAGATTTAAGTACGGTGAAAAAAGAATATGACACTCATTCTAGTATGCAGTTAGACCAAAGCGCATGTGGTAAGTTTTATTATAAACCTTTCCACCAATGTCATCATTCAAGATATAATTACCAGTTTAGTTTGTTGACTAAAGTTCATATTATGTAACAATTTACATGTTGATCATGTCTTTTTGTCATTGTAAACTTTTAACAATTATTTTTGTGATTATTTACATTTACTGTGATTATTTTAGCGCTTATAAATTAACAATCAGATGGGACACCTTCCTCTTTTATTTTTAATTTATAATTTTGTCCATAACTTTTCATTGAATTTTCCTTCATAAATTGTATAATATAATTTTAATTGATTTGGTGGATAAAATGTAAAGTAATTTAAGAGAAAGGTTTCGCATCTGGTTTTTTCTGGTCTGTGCGTTAAAACAAATTTTTGATACCTACTGTCAAAGTAATAAATCTATAAAAAGAATTTTTAAAGGACATAATTTTGATTGACAATCAGGTAAGTAGTATTTCCTTTAATATATTTTTCAGTAGTCTTAAATTAAAATGGAGGAAAGTGGACCCATCATTTTGTTAATATTCTTTTAGGATGGGCTTATAAAAATGTTTTAATTTTATTCAAATATTAATTTTAAATCCTTTAAAAAATAAAAATAAAAAATATATTTAAATATTATGATTTTACCCTTTGTAATATATTTTTTCTAATTTCTCGATCATTGTTAATTTAAGATTAGAGTGGATTTTAGTTAAACTATAAACAGTAATTCAGATATTTTAAATACTTTTTATAATCTATATTTTGTTTAAAGTAATAAAGATAATTATAAAATACATTAAATCTATGTATTAAATTATTTATTGAAAATAGTTGAAAATGTACAGCAGTAAAAGAATTATTTTTTTAAAAACATTTTTATACAGTCCATTACAATTTACTATACAGTTTTTGTGTGAAATTAAATTTAACGTAAAAGATCAAATATTTTTCAGAGGTAGAATCTGAGCAAACACGTACTTCATTTAAAGATACAAATGGAACAAGTGACTTTGACAATACAACAAACCATGCTAATCGACCAATAATGGACAAGTATTCAGTTCGTCAATTCTGTACTCAAGAATCAAGCAATCTTTTTAGGTGTAATTTGTGCCGCAAGACATACACTCACATTAGCAATTTCTGTCGGCATTTCCTATCATCTCATCATGGAATTAGACAAGAAGTACCCTGCCCTGTATGTACTAGGATGTTTACAAGAAGAGACAATATGTTGACACATATGAAACAAGTACACAGAGTTTCTGCTCCCAAAGTTTATGCTACAAACAACAATAGCAGTTCTAGATTTGAATATAATAGTTTGTGATATTTTATAATTGTTCATGTATGCTGGCATACTACAATTTTTTACTTGTTGACTGTTTAATTAACCAGTATTGAAGGTAATAATGCAGATAATATCTTTCCATGAATACATTTAATCATATGTTGTACCAAAGTTAAGAAACTTGAGTGAAATAACTAGTATTTAACAATTCACAAGTGGGATATAGTTTTTAATTATGTACTTAAATGGTTCAGTTAAATAGTTGTTGTTTGTAGGGTAAAGGTATATTTGTTTTTAAATTTATTTTCGTCTTTTTTGTTGCGTTTTTGTCTTCCTAAGTTTTAATTTGTTTTTGTTTTTCCTTTGCCTTTTATGCTCCTTCCATAGTTAACCCGTCCAATGTTTTTATTATTATAATCATTTAATTAGGGTTGTTATACTATTTAAGGTAAAAAATTGTTATAATAAATACCTGTCAATAATTTAAACCCGTCTTGCCAAATATTATTAAAATGGTCTAAGTATGATTATGTAAACTGAACTCAATGTGCAAGTTACATCTTTCATATTGCAATGGTAAAAAAAAATTAGTTTTATGCCAAACTAATATTAAAAAAATAATTTTGATATATTGTCAATTACAAAGACTAAACAGGTCTTTATTTTATTTTAAAATGTTGTTTTTGCGTAAAACTATATTAGTCAAAATTAAATTTTAATCTAGTGTATGATTTGATTGTTTTTGTTAATACCTAATTTTTAAGTTGGGCTGTGTGTTTTCTTAGTCAATTTGTTATTCAATCTGCCTTGCCATTATGTGTAGTTTTGATTTTAAGAGTATAACGTTGTTGAAAAATTTGTTTATGTTTATAAATACAATCATATTTAAATTATATTATATTATATTACATTATTATTATTATTATTATTATTATTATTATTATTATTATTACTATTTTTATTTATAGACTGCTAGACAGGGTGTTTTTAGCATACAATTAGTTTAGTAAACAATGGTGCTTTGTTTTAACTTTTGGGGAAATAACAAGTATTTTTGTAAAAATTTGAACGCCCATTACTAATCAAATTGGCTGTGAAAGCTACAAATATTAGTTAAATTTATTATTTTTTTTTCTTTTGGTTTGTTATTTTGAATTTGATAATTGACTGAATTGAATAAGTATCCAAATAAGCTTGTTTTAACATGATAATTGATTTGTTATTAATCCGTTTGTTTTGTTATTTTTTTTTCCTATTTAATATTTATTCTTCGGGCAGCGTTATAATATTTATATGTTATCATTGTTTTGTTTTAATGCGCCATCATATACCTAGTACATACAGTGATATTTAATATGTGAAGTTTATGATAAAATAAAAATTTATGAAAAATATATGTTTTATTATTTTTTAACACCTAATCTGCTCATATTTAATGTTATCTCTCTTTATTCATGTAAAATGCTACCGCTTTTACAATTTATATTAAACACTATATTTTTACTTAACATTATAAGTTATAACTAATATCGTTAAACATGTACTCTCTTATCTTTACATACAATATTTTGTTATATTTGCGGCCATAGGAGTTATATCTACAAAATTGCAAAATCAAATCAACAAATAACTTTATTGTAAGTGACTGGTGAACATAATTAAATAATAGCATGAGATATGAATTCGTATCTAGATTTTGCGTAGATAATTTTTACATTTAAACAGTATATATTATTATGTATTTGTAGCTTTATGCGTGCATTTTTAATATTTACATAATATTATTATGACAGTAAAATTAAATTGCATACATTTTTTTAAATATTTCATAGATTATAACTATTTTTTAGATATTATTTTTAATTATTATTAGTACCCATTTTTATTATTTTATCTATAATATTATTAAAATCTTAAGTTAAATAATAGCTTCTTTTTTTACTATAATTATTATTAATTATATTATTTACATTTGGTCAATATCCTTAACAATAAGAATTCTTTAATAATTATCCTTTTTTTATGAACAAACATATTTTTGTTGAGATGAAAAAAAATTGTATTGATAATGAATATACTATTTATATATAAATAATTTTATTTAAGAGGACGCTACACCCGCATGGGTTGTCGCTGTCCTGTAAATGTACAACATAGCAAAACTTGTTTTGCGCGGGACAACTATACTCCCTCTGTATAGTGTATTTATATAGTAACACATGGGGAGGAAGTTTATCTGTGTCTTAGCTTTTTTATTATTTGATAACATTAATACAATTAAAGTTATCAGTTTGAGAATATTAAGGTTTTTTTGGTTTTCTTTCATTTCGTTATTAAAAATTATTGGTTAGCTCTATCAAAAAAAATTAAAACAATGCGACACAGATAAAGTTATTCCCTATGTGTTGTGGAATTTTCATAATTCTACATTTCTACTATAAATACAGAGAGATTATATATAGTTGTTCCGAGCAAAACAGTTTTTGCTATGTTGTATACTTGTAAGACAGAGCCAACACATGCTGATGTAGCGTCCTCTTAAGAGGACGTCAGCTGTAGTGCGCTTGATTTCTCACTTGAGCAGCATAAACAAAACACATTCACACTAAAACATTTTTTTTTTTTTTTATGTAATCTTGGAGTTAAATCACCAATAACAAAAATGATAGAGAAAAATATTTTTTGGGTTATGACAGATTTGTCTCAAAACAATTTAAAGTCCATATAAATTTACAATTTTTTTTGTTACTTTTTAAGTCTTATGTCAATAATAATAATAAAGTATAAATAATTCTAAAATATTATCTTTTATAATTTTTGTAATAAATAATTTTCCTCCTTGATTGCTCCAGAATTAAAAAAAAAATCTATTTTACATGAATGCGTTTTATATCTAAGTCTGAGAGAGTAAACAAATATTACGCCGTTATCTAAATTATTTATTTATTCTATTAAATAGGTATTACATTTTTGCGAGGTTTCTTTACAAATAATTTGTCAGGATAAAATTTAAACTTCTAACTCTTACACAAATTATAATATATTATATATAACAAATCATACATATTTAATTCATCTAATAACATATCTATAATAATTTATAGTCGTAAATATATTTAATATTTATAAATGATACTTCTAAATTAAGCAAATGAAGGTTACCTAATTTCTTATTATTTAGTTACTTTTATTATTATTAATTAAAGTATACTATTTAAGTTACATTTTCTATATAGATAATAGTTGATTTTATTGCACTTTGGTGTTATTTAGTTTATTGCATTATTTAGAAAAATAAATAAATATTTCTGAGACTTCCTCAGATAATTAGTCATTAGTTAAACATTTACAATGAGTATAATATTATTTACTTATTTATTTTAATTAGTGACAATTATAGAAACAAAAGCGCGGAAACATGTATATAAGATGTAATGTACATGACGTTAAAAAAATATATAATATGATAAATAATTTATAATTGAATAGGTACATAAGAATTTATTTTAAAACTAGTGTAGGTACAAATAATTAATACTGAAATCCAGATTTACGAGCACTCACAGTTGATAAAATAATTGTCCTGTCCGTATCTACTCTGTAATATTCCAACATTTTATATAATATTTAATATAGGCCATACCTATAGGTTACCTATGGGCTATGACTTTTTAACGAAATAAAACGTTTGTTTCTTGTCAGTAGCCAGTACTCAATATAGATGGGATGTTGTCCATTATAAGTTAATAATCAACTATCACGGCCTGCCTTCCCATATTCTATAATATCAACAATCCGATTAAATTACAACTAAACTCTTCTATCATACTAACAAATACGTAACAATTAATGTATAATTATATAGCACACCGATATTTGCATAAACGTTGACGGTCGATTTTTAACATACCTACATTCGTTTTAGGTTAATAACCTATAATTATTAAGTAATAATAATCAAAATTTGTTTCTTTTGTCGTTTAGGATTTTAACCATATAATATATTATAATAGTAAACCCAATAATCACGCATGATAAATTATTAAAATATATAGTCGACCAACGTCCGTTTATGCGTTAGTGCGTTTGTGCGTTTACGATGGTTATTTGCAGTCTACCTATTTACCTATTTCACTTTTAAGTATATGTGTAGAAGCAAAGGTAGTGAATGCCTCCCGCAGACAAACGATGATCATATTTTTGATTCCGTTTTAATAGGTAATCGCCGATTTTGTTTTTTTCCAATCAGTGCAGGCGGATCCAAGGCTTAATTTTGTTTTGGGGGGATGCCCCTTTTTCCCCCTGGATCCAATCTTGGATCAGTCGTATCCGTGTTGTATATTGTAGATGCCTTACATAAATATTATATTCATATGCAGTTAGTCACAATTTATTGAACACACGCAGCAATCGTCATTTCATATAGGTAGTCAACAATAACAATATTCGGTAAAACTATAAAGCTTACTAACTACAAAGCTATAAGCTTTGACTTCCTATTTTTATACCAAAAAAACGGAAATGACGTCCCCAACGCTTTTGTCGTAATTTATTAGCGGTAGAATTTACTTAAGTCTTAGCAACAATACACATCACACACTGCAGTGTGTGTTATCGATTACATTATAGTTGTATGTACCTATTATTTTCGTTATTATTATTTGTTTTACTTTTTTGGCATCGCTGCTTGACCGTGTGGGGCACCACTCACGCGGCCACCCGCCGTATATTATTCTATTATATGTTACGTATTGCTTGCTGCAGTTTTCATTTATTTATTCATTTTTTTGCCATGATCGTACCTTATAATAATAACCTAATACCTATCTATCCGTTGCGAACTCGATATATATTATATATTCGTCCTCCTCGAAAACGAAAACGCACTGCAGTAATTATTTGAATGCCAACACATTATATTATATTATATTGTATTATGTGTTATGTATAGACCATCGAAAGTATATTAGATTGGAAAAAAAAACCGTAATCCGCCAAATATTTTCGACTTGTTTTTTAAACGCGATTTTTTTTTTCTGTTATTCCGTAGACATGCACAATGCGAACATGTTAAAGTTGTTGTCTTCGCGGAGTGATCACGAACACCACTTTAACCATCACCAAGCAGCGGACGGTGGAGATCGTGACAACAACAACGACGCTCGCCTGACGCTGGCGGCCAGCTGGTCGGCGATGGCAGCCGATCAAAAGTCCAAGTTCTCGCTGGCCGTGTCCCAGCACACGTCCGGCTACAAGCAGCAGCTGCAGGCGGCCCTCGACGAGGATAAGCGACAGATACAAGAGTCGCAGCAACAGCTACACCACCACCAGCAGCAGCAGCAGCACCAGCACCAGCAGCAACAGGCGGCTGCGGCAATCGCCGCCACCGCCGCGGCACTGAGGACGCCCGTCAAGCGGCGCATCCGGCGACGGGCCACGTCGTCCAGCGACCCGGCCGAGCAACTGACCGAGATGTCGGTCCGCGGCCTGAACCTGTTCCGGTATGCCACCGTGTCCGAAGGCATCTACAAGTGTCTGGAATGCGCCAAGACGGATATACTGAAGACGTTCAAGAACAAGTACAGCTTCCAGCGGCACGCGTTCCTCTATCACGAGGGCCACCAGCGCAAGGTGTTCCCGTGCCCGGTGTGCGCCAAGGAGTTCTCGCGGCCCGACAAGATGAAGAACCACATGAAGACCGTACATGAGTGCTACATGCCAAAGGCCATCGAATTCCCACAGGTGCCGTTCCTATTGCCGCCATGAGATAGTCGTCGCGCGGCGTCACCGCTGCATGACGTGTGAGTTCCACCCAAGCACATACATACACACACGTCTGCGGTGGCGAGTGCCGATTTGGGGGGGGGGGGTGAGCGAGACTTACGCCACCACTATTTTAGCGGAGCGCCCTGCCGATTGGTATATTTATAATACCTACTATCATATTAAATTTCTACGAACACGTTTTTTTTTCTCCGCAAAGGTTTAGCATTTATTATAAAAAAAAAACGTAATAATATTGTACACGTTTTTTTTTTACTATTATTACTATTATCATATTTTTATTTAATTATTTTTTGTTTCATCGAGTCTTCCGGATAATGTTGAATTTTAAATTATATATGTTTCTTATATAAATTACACTCCCAGATAGGGACTACTATAGTTTTAACCAAAAAATAAAAAGAAAAAAACCACCTCGTTAATCATATTATATTATATTATAAAATAGTGACTCTATTTTTTTTAATTTTCAGACAACCGCGCCGACTCGTCAATAATTGTATATATTTGAAGTTATGTGTCCGTTTTTATCGGCTGAATTTTTGTTTGAAATTTTTTTTCATATATACCTCTAACGTTCGCTCTATTTTTACACGTTTTTCAAGTATGCGCGTTTATATTATTACCAAATTATTATTTTTTTTTCATATTTTTTGATATACTTATGACATAAACCGAATAAAATGCATTATAAACGCATTCGATTATTGTTTCCACTGTAAATAGTGGTACGTCGAAAATTGTAATTTGAAAAATATTTGCCGATCGGAACGATTTCCTCAGAAATATTATTTAACCCTTGCTCGGCGAACGAGTGAAACGACAATCAGGTTTTATACTTACAGCAATAACAATTTACGTACATATATATTTTCCATACGTCCTAAGAAGTTGAAAAACATAGCAGCGCCTGGTGCTTTTTTAATTTTGATTAGTTGTTTATTATTTGTTTTGAGCTGGTTGTAGGGTGGTATTGTGCAATATAATTCCAAAAATAAATATTTTTTTATAAACCGTATAGTTGATTTTTTTACCAAAATATATATTTTACAATATTTTATTCGATTAATTTTATTTATACATTGCGGTCTGCAAAAATCATACACAATCAATTCAAAAAAAACGTTCGACTGAATTAGAGTTTGACGATTATTTTACGGTTTTTTTTTTTTTTTAACCAAATAAGGCCAGTTAGTTATTGAGACTGAATACTATAATGAATAATAAAAAAAAAAAAAAAGTAGGATAAACTTCTCAATGTTCTGGAAAACGACAATAATATGTTCTTTTCTCCTTTTATTTCCCTAATTATATATTGTACAAAATGAAAATGTTGTTTTCTTTTCACATTTTTTTTTTTTTTGTAACAATCATTTACATCATCAACTATAATAAAATATTAGGAATTATATTTTAATTACAAATTTTATTATTACTATTCAAAATATAGAATATATATTTTTTGTAAATTTGTACAGAGTATGTTATTATTATTAACAATATTTGATTACAATTATATATAAATTTATTATATATCATTATTTATTTTTGTTATATAATAGGGGGACACCGTAGACAATTAGTTATCATTAATATTTTTTTTTATTATTATGATTATTATTATAATTATTATTTTTATTACTTTTATTAAACCGTGCAATTCATCCACTTTATATTATTATGTTTTAATTGTTTATTTATTAAAAAAAAAAAAAAAAAAACAATTGAATCAATTCAACCACGGATTTATGTGGGTTATTATTAAAACATTTTCGTTATTTTACCATTTTAAAACAAATATATAAATTTATATATTATCTTCTTAGATTTTATTTAATACGTGTTTACACTCAACATTGTATATTAAATTTGTTAATAATTTTGATTAACCACTGTTAGCCCCATAGTTATTAATTATTATTATTGTATAATATACATGTTTTATTTTAGTTCTTAAATATTTTAAACATATAAATTATCTCAAAACAAAACTTTTGTTACGTTAACGTTTCCATTATTTTCATATTTTAATTTAAATTACTACAATTATTATTATAATATTTTTTTTCTTCAAAATTGAAATAATTTTATGTTAACATTTTGTTGTTGCTTTATTTTATATATATGAACTTTGTGTATTTTTTTTCTATTAGTCGTTTTGTTATGTTTTCCTAAGAAATAACAATTTTTTTTTAATTTTCATTCCTAAATCATGTTTTTTTTTTGTCTAAAGTCACGCTAAGAAGTTATGGTTTTTTTTTTTCTAGAGGTGAGTGGGATTAGACAAATATTTAAACAATATTACGTCGGTAAAAAAGTGGCACGCATCTTGTAAAATGATTAGCTAATTTAAAAAATAAAAATATTAATTTATGTAATAACTGAAATGTTAATTTTAATTCAATAAGCAATAAATTAACGTTATTTGAAAATAATTAAATTTCTTAATTCATAAACACTATTTTTGTAATGTATTACCTAAAAGCTGATAATATACTATATATATATATATATATATATAATATTGTATATTTTTATTTATAGAAAAAATATACAATCTGCACATATTATATTTTTGTGTTGTAAGTTTATACAATTGATGGTATAAAATATTAAATGAGAGGAAAAAATAAAATTTTTGGTTCAACCGATGAAGAAAACTAGGTTCAACTCATTCAATGGTGTTTGAACAGGTACATTTAAACATATAACAAAGCATTACGAAATGAGAATAGTACTTAACACAACTTGAGATTGAAAATCTTGTACATAAAGTTAGGTAAGTTAGTAATATAAAATTAGATTAAAGTTCAATGCCAACAATACAATATCAATTAAAACAAAAATGACGAGACTAAACATTTTATTTTTTAATATTCCTTTTTCTTCAAAATAACAAGTTTATATAGACAAAATATCTCATTTTATGAGCTTAAATAAATAAACATTTATCAAAAAAAAAAAAAATAGACATAACTTCTTATCAATAGTTTCACTAAAAACAATATTGAATCAATTAAACATCATCTTCATCGCTGTCTTTAATATAAACAGTATCTGCTGAAGATGGTTTTGGCGTAAACCCACTTTCTACATTTGCTGTAATATTTAACACCGTGTCAGTATCCTATAACAAAATATGGGGACAACATTTAATGATTTAGAATAATTATAATTATGTTCCATAAACATTTAGATTTGACTCACAGTATCTGGAGACTGATCATCATTAATTTCTTCGTCCTAAAAATTATTAAAGTAAATTTAATGTAAATGTATAAGTCAGAATTGAAATATTATTAAGGGTGGCAGACATCTATTTTAGCCATAACATACCAATCTTTGTCCATCATATTGATATCGACCTAGTAATGTGATAATCAGGGCTCGGAAGTTGTGGCACTAAAAATGGTAATTTTTAGCTCCTTAATAAGCACTAAAAAACTCTAAAATATGCGCTATAAATAGCACGGAAAATCAAAAAATATGCATTTAACTTGAAAAAATTATAATTATAAATTTATTACAAAAAACAATTAAATGTTATTATTTTATTAATTATTATTCATTACAAAAAAAAATTAAACGTTATTATTTATTAAAAATTAGTAATTACATTTGCCAATTTCTATACTGTTATATAATTATAAAAAATATAACCAAATAAAATTTAAAAATATAACCAAATAAAATCATTATTTTCAACTAAATGTGGTTATTTTCCAAATTATCTGATAATATACCCAAAAATAGCACTAAAAACCTTAAAATGGCAAAATAGCAATAAAAATCATAAATATGCGAAAAATGGCAAAATAAAATTTCGTGTATGACATCAGATAAGTGTGAAACATATTTGTATCTTACTTTGGGTGTTCTAGGACAAACCAAAAAAAATATGCATTTGCCACAACTTCCGAGCCCTGGTGATAATACTTTATATAACTGATTTAAATTCGTTATTGTGTCTACTTGAGATCGATCAGTCCACTTTTCCCAATTTTACCCTCCCACCAACAAGTATAAATTTAGTTGGATATTTTGGGACTTCAGAATTTTTAAACGTTCGGAATTGATATCAAAAATTTTAAAATACGGACTGACCAATCACAAGAAGACATTATAACAAATTCAGATTAGTTTTTTTTAAATATTATCGGATTAATATGTCGATCGTAGGATAGACAAAAATTACATTCAAGTGATTCAATTTCAAATTGTTTACCAATTACCGTTCATGTGCGCAACGCCGAGTACACGTGTTGTGTGTGGGAGTGCTTGGCTATTTCTTTTACACTGTCACATACACAGTACAGTAATGATCACTTACTACTAGTGATTACAATCCCGGCCCTATTTTGCGATCCTGGGATTTCGGGATATTTAGCTATTAATCCCGAGATCCCGGGATTATCCCGAAATTTGGTAAAAATATTTAAAAGCATTATGCACATTTTTATTTTATTTAATTATTTTAATTATTATACATTAGAATTAAATGTTCTACTAATTTTGAAAATATGAAAGAAGGAATAGTAGAGGGTCTAATGTTCCATCTCCCAGTCTGCTTCTCAATAAATCTTTCAAATGTGTAATTTGTCCATACGTATACCGATCGGTCGTAAATATAATCTCATAACTTATAACATAATATAATCTTATCTTATCTTATAAACACGTTAATAGGCATTAATAACCGGGGAATTGAATTAAAAAGTCGCTGCTACATAGTCCAGAGAATCCGGGGATTATTTATACTGGGTCCTGTATTTTCGGTACCTAAAAGTAGTCGGGATCCCAGGATTGTAATCTCTACTCACTACCCACACATTTACAAGACCAATAAAATGTAGTTAGAAAATTGCCTACTTCAAGCTCCTTAAAATCTGTCCGCCACCGATCTCCGTAAGTATTAAATATTAACTTTGAAATTCATTCTAATAATGGATCACTTAAAAATCTTTAGTGTATTCTAATTATCTTTAGGTATAGGACAGAAATTTAAAAAGGTTTAATTGCCTTAGGAGCAGAAGCGGAACTAAGAATTTTTACGCCCTGGGAAAATATTAAAATTACGCCCAATCATAGATCAAGTCATCAAGATTGAAAATATAATATCATTCCCTACAATTGTTTTATAATAACTGGAACTAAAATTACAAACATACTTATTGACTTTTAAGCACATAATAATATATAATAATTAATATATTCTGTGGACTGTGGTGTAACCAAGTTTATACTAATATACAATATAAAAAAAGATTCAGATTTAAGTGATTAATAAATTTTCAATGAATTGGACTAACCCAGCTGCAGGCTGCAATAGCATATACCTAAATATTTTTTAAAATTTGAGTGGCCTAACCCACATTAAAACTTAACCAACATTAATTGGGTTAATGTTTTATAGATGGCTTGAAAGGGCATTATTTATACATAAAAAATGAGCTTATTATTTTCTTTAGAGTGGATTTTATAAGAAATAAAAATATTAAAAAATAATCAAAACTTAAATTACCTGTCCTGTATAAAAATTAAAAACACTTTTGCTGTTTTGGTTCTATGAGCCTCAGCCTTCAATTATAATGGATTTTTATGGTGAAATATAAAATCTTTTATTCTAATTAAGGTACACAATTTAGGCCAGTAAAAAATGCTATTTAATTAAACAATTTAAAAAAGAAAAAATCTAAAATCTTTTTTTAAACATAAGCAAATGTATAACCATCTTGGTAAATATTATAATATATAATAATATAAACTATTAACATAATTTTTAATATACAGATATAATATACATATCGTACGTTGGTTGATAATCTTATAACAGACAGTTATTGTGTAGGTATCAGAAATTTTAACAATGAACCACACCAAATCAAATAACAAGTGGCTTTCATCTGATTGGATTCTTCTACTTTTTTTGATTTTGTTATTCTATAAGATCAAATGATATTTAAATAAAGAAAGAAATGCATAGTTTTAAGGCAATCATTTATACAAAATTTGAATTTAATGAAAAACAAAACTAAAATAAGTAGAAGAACCCAATCAGATGAAAGCCAATTATCAATTGATTTGGTATGATGATTGTCTTAAAATGTTACATTTGCCTTCTCTGTTTCAATATCCTTTAAACTTAAAGAATAACAACTCATTGAATATATTGTTACCTACCTCTTTATTAATGAACTTTTGTAATGCTTTTTCAAACCCATAATGCAGATCTTGTAGTTCATATTCATTACTTTCAATACTACTCATTGCCAAATCAATACTAGTACATGTTTCCATCAACTTCATACAAACATATATAATTGTATTAATAACTAATAATTGTGTAATATAATATTTGTTAGAATTATACGACATACTATGTAGGTTACTTACATATTCATCTCTAGTCACAGGTTCATTAGAATAAAACAAATTGCTTAAAAATTCATTATTTGTTTGAACAATAGCTTCATTCTCATTAATTTTAGTTATCAAATGCTTATTTATTGAAACAATCTCGTTAGATTTTATTTTGCAGTCGGTTAGTTTATTATCCAAAGTAGAAATATGAGCTAATAATGAATTGATTAATTCCTACAGAAGTACAGAGAAACAAAAAAAATTATACATCAACACTTTTTAGACTAATGATTGGAATAAAACTATAAAAGTATTTAATTTTTCCAAATAAGTGATTAAATTCAAAAATATTGATACAAATATAACTTAATATACATATCAAATGTATTTAATTTGCCATACAGTATGTAAAATATATTTAAAAAAATTGAATGAAATTCTTATTATTACTGGCAAATTTGCTATAATATACTTTATAATTTATATTACCTATATGTTGTTTTAAATAATATGTTTAATAATCACCTGAGAGGCACAACTACTATGGTGGTTTGTTTCTAATTTTGAGTTATTAGGATAACAATAGATGCATTCATTTTGATGAATGAAACGTATTGGTTGACTAATTCCATAAATCTAAAATAAATAATAATATACACATATATTTTAGAAATTGACTCATTTGATAAAATTAACATACCTCATTAAATTCATTGCCATATAGAAATTCATAATCTTCATTACAATTAACATTTTTCAACTGGTATGCATAAAATATAACTTGACGATAACCATATTTTATCGGTGTGTGCATTTTTAAATCCATCTCTACTGCAACAAACTCTTCTAAATTTCTATTGCTGCTACACTTATATAATGCAATCCAATCCGAATGTTTTTGTTTCAAAGTCTATAATATAAAATGATTTATTATATCTCAAAATATTAGGTCCATGTACAGTTATCTTCTATACTTCAATATTAATTCTTACTTTATTGATGAATTTGAAAGAAATATTCACGGCGTTCTCCATAAAATATCTTTTATTGGTGACTATTTCAACAGAAATTTTGATATTTTCCATTTTTTTTCTTAGGTATATAATAAACTGCAACTATAAATAACGAATTTATAAACTTATTTTATAGTATTAACAAAATATAAGGCATTGTAAAATACTAAAATCTGCTTAAAAAAGTAATAAACATATAACCCAAATTAAAAATTCTTTTAAAAATTTAGTATGTAAGTAGGTATCTAATATCTACTTATTCATAAATGTAATTGTATATTATTTAATATTAAATTATTGATACATAGGTAAAGATACAAGGATATATATGTATAGAAAGTTGTTACATTTTAATGTACATTGAACATAAGTAGTATGTAATACTATTTTAATACATATATGTTTTTAACAGTTGTCTTATTATGATTTAACGGTGATTAAAAGTAAATAAAATTTGGCACACAATTTTAAAATTTAAAATTAGAAATATATACTGGCTTTCACTTTTCATTATAAGCAAATAAATACGGTACAAGTGGTTTTAATCATCCATAATAATTTTTATTAGGTATTCGGTTATGCTGGTATGAGGCAATACACTTCTTATAAATATTTTTACAGCTATGATTGGTTGAAAACACAATTCATTGAGCAGAGATAAAATAACTAATTATCAAGGCTCATAATATGAGATGGGATCTTTGTATTTATCATATAGGTATGTTTTATTTTTATTTTTTTTAATAAGTGTTTCATTAGGTAGGTAACGATGTAATATAATATAATTACAAAACAAAATAGTCAATTAAATTTGATAAGCATAAACTAATGATGTTGACTTATGAACCTTACCTATCCAAGATAACTTTTTTCTTTTCCGTTAGGTATTACAATATGATAATGTAGATTTCAAGACGAACAGTTAACATTTAAATATTTAAGTCAATAGTCTTTGGAAGAAACCTATTCATAATTATATTATAATATGTTAAATTATTAAGTTAGTCACTAAATATGCATTTTTTCTGCAGTGGCAAACAGTGAAGCAGCACGACGCCTAGAAGTCGACCATGTCCAGACTGATAGTTTACTTTAGACACTGCAAGGACACTGTACCAATACCTACTTAATAAGTATTTATTTTCTTTCAGAATATTTCAAATTAGCATTGTTAAAATAAAATTATATTGATTGAAATAGATGATTATAAAATACTTAACCAGCCATTAGTTGTGCTATGATGGTCAAAACCACCATAATTAATTAATATCTTCTAACATAATATATTTTCACGCCTGAGCATTTATTTCTAAAATCATTCAAAATAAAAAATAGAACTTAAGTTTGATATCCATAATACCTACCTATTGAGGTTGAATCGATCAATATGCGACTAATCACGTTTGTAAAGCTTGACTACCTACCTTAAATTATTATTGATTATTTTTTTGTATGAACTATGAATAGGTATCTTTATTATTATTATTATTATTATTAGGTACCTATTGATTTATACCTGAGTGCAATGGTGCAGCATTCTACTATTTATTTTTTGTAGATCCTAGTGTACCTACTGCTTTGTTACTAAAATCTTAGAACTAATAGGAAATAACAAGTTTGCAAATTTCTGAACACACAATATTAATAAAGTATTAATGAATTTATTAATGAATAATAATAATACGACACACACATGCAAGTGCCATCGATATCGAGTTGAGAAAACATTTTACTTACCCTAAATTGGTGGATTCTTGAATGGTTGACGAAATATAATATATTCCAAATAAAAAACACCAGACCAAAGGAACGAATTATTCTGCATTCATACCATAAGGCATAAAGTAAAACTACAATTTATACAATTTGTATACCATTTGGAAATATTTGATATTTGTGTGGATTGTACGAATATTAGGAAAATATTCCGTATAATTATTGAATGTGGAAAAGTAAATACTTAAAATAATAAATATTTAAAGTTATAACCTATAACTATTATAATTATTTATTTATGCCATTTATGAACTATGGCAGTATAACGTCTATAGAATAATATATTAATATGTCACAACTCACATTGTCACTTGTCAGTTGTCAGTAAGTTGTTGTCACTGGGATTGTCACAATGTGATAAAATTAGAAGTTACACAATTAGTTTTAGGTTATGTTTTAACTTTCAATATAAGCACCGCTTCAAGGCGTATTAAAAATTAAAATATTTGTAAAATTATAAATATTACCTTTTACTATATTTTAATATTTTACTATTTAGTTTTTATTATATTTTTTAACTACAAGACTATAAGTACTCACGGCCATAGAGTAATAAATAAAAACTGTATTATAGTGTAGTAAATTATAAAATTACTTAATTTACTCCTTGCAAGTTTGTAATTTCGACTCGTTGGAAAAATAGTACTATTTTCAATCAGGTAAATCGAGGGCTACCGTGGTGGAAATTCGTGGAATACCGTGTTCTGGTACATGTGTGGAGACTTTCGTTTGTGAAACAGGCAACAGCATAAACTTTAAACTTCACAGCTTTGAATAGTGGAAATGTGGAATAGCGTAAAACGTGATGGCCCTAGGGCCTATTTCCTACAGGAGGTGGGTGGAACCCCCTTAAACACAGAAATTTAATTATTGAATGGTAATGGCAGAAGCTAATACGAAAAAAAAATTAGAATAATGATAGTAATTTATTGTTCTGTGTAACTACTTTTTTTTTTTTTTAATTTTACAAAAGCACATACAATCTATGCAATAAACGTATAAGATAAAGAGTTAAAAAACATGGATTGTCTGAGTAAGAAGCTACCCATTAGTGGCACTTACCTACTTGACGTTAAATTTAGGGTAATTAATGAGCGATATTTAATTTAAATGGTCATGACACCAATTCCTTTTGAGTCTACGTTGTGGATTTCCAGGGAGTGAGAAGGTATGTAGCTCTTTTATTAGTGGGTTAGGGTGATTTTCAAGTCTGTCGAAGAAACGTTTGTAAAAAAGTTTCACTTCAGTGACAACAGGAGAATCTTGGTGGAGAGTTAAATTAGAGACGTAGAAGGGAGCGTTAGTGATTTTTCTAAGGGTAATATTCTGAAAGACTTGAATTTTGTTTATGTTTGATTTTTTGGCCGATCCCCAGAGTTGTATCCCGTATGTCCATATTGGCTTTAGGAGAATTTTGTACACAAGTAGTTTTGTTTTTCAGCTAGTAAATTTATTTTTTGATAATATTGATTTTAGCGATCTAGATCGAGCGTTAAGGATCAATCTTTTAGCTTTAATATGTACCTACTTAAAAATTAAATTTTCTGGCCTTTGCTTGACAAAAAAAATAATGTCTTAATTTTTTTTTCATTTATGTCATGTGAAACTTCGCAAGTACTGTGTGGCCTCTCCCCGACTTAGACGTACCCAAGTGGTCCTCTCCTAAATATGCTTCCGGCTTTAAATCTGTGGATGAATGGTAGTTATTAATCACTTCCGATGTAAACCTGACAATTCAGACGTGGGCGGAAACAATATGCTTACCATAGGCATAAAGTTTCATTATATTATAAGAATTTGGTATCGTTCAGTGGTTCTATGTAGCTATTAATTATAAAATATACAATATTTTTTGTTATTATATTCATTTTTCCAATTTAATGGTATTAAATGTATTATTATATTATGGTTAGAAGTACTGTGCTTTCTTCTCAGTTTATATAGTTAGAGGTTAGTGGTTGGTAGACAGTGGTTAATGTTGCATTGTACAAATATACTTAATATAAAATATATTTTTTATTTAAGAAATATATAAATCATTTACTAATAACTATCATTATTTGTAATAAAAATAAAGTTTTTATTATGGTAGTAGTAATACTGTATTTGCACTAAAATATAAAATCAATAACAAGAATAATAACAAATAAGTCGAATAAAAAATATATAAACAGACAAAATGTGTAGGTAGCTAGAATGTTTATTCGCAGTAGTCATCACTTAACTCTGAGTCATCGATAAATTTGACTACTGCGGAAGGAATTGATTCAATACTCAATGATTTTAACTGTTGAACATCTTCTGCATCAATGGTTTCAGTAATCTGTGGTTCATTAATGTGACCCGGCTGCTTCTATATTTGAAATTAGAGTTAAATATACAATTTATAAAGTGTTGTAAATGAAAACTTACATAATGCTTCAAATATGTGTTAGTATTACTAAGCTCATTGTTAATGGCACGTAATCTCTGTATTTCTTGTTCTTGAGAATTTATGATTGCTGTTAAATATACTTCATTTCTGACTATTTTGGTAGACATTACATGGTTTCTTATTTCAGTAGTTCGCATTCGCTTGATCCAACGCTACAATTTAAGTTTAAGTATCATTTTTGTTAATGTACATTTAATAAATTAATAGTTCAGTTCTATAAGCGGCGGCTCATGGTTGTGACTTTAATATGATAATATCTCTAGTCATATGTATAACAAATCAAAATACCTGTATAATGCATATAATATTACTTTTAAGCTTTAAATTATATTTGGCAAAGTAACCACAGTAGAAAATAAATCTATAGTATTAATTATTAAGTCATAAAGTGTATAATAATATTGTAGTATACTAATATACTATTATACTTGTACTAATACAGAAAAGTTTGTTGATTTGTATTATTATTTTTGACAGCCCCCCAAAATTTCAGTCCTAGTAGCGTCACTGGCGACAACAACCAGCAAAATTTAGTTTATTTTAAAAATAAATTACCTACTATACTAATATTTTACCATATGAACGACACTGCCGGTCGTCCAAAGTGCATATATAATATCACGGTTTCAACGTACCCGCACACATACAATCAAAGAGGCTTCACCGCTAATGTACGGCGTATTAAGAACAGCTCAGACAATGATATTTTTCATCCAAACACTGCATGCATACGCTCCTGGTTTCTGAGAGAAACAATTCAATGTTCCCTCAAGATAAAACAATTGCAGTTTGAATAAAACTTCTTTTTCAATTAATATAAGTATAAAATTAATTTTCTTCTTTTCTTTAATTTTTTTAGGGGGTGCGATCATCTCGTCCAAGCCACAAGACGCCACTGAGTACCATAATGAATAATTTTAAAGAATTTTTTTTAAAGCTTACTGTGTGTCCTTTAGAGTTTGTTAACTTCACTGGTTTTCCTTGATCAAGTGCTTTATAAAGGCCATCAATAAATTGTTCACCTCTAGATCTAAGCATTTCACACGCTTTCAATTTTTTTACAAGCTGTTCATTAAGCTCTATTGCTTCTTGTTTACCTTTTTCAAACTCAAGTAATCTTGTTTCAAGACACTTCATACGCTGAACTACTGAATTAATATCCTAAATAAAGAAACAAAAATTGTATTTATTAGATATAATTTAAATAACAAAAAATTATGTATTAATAAACAGATATACTATTATGCTAATTCATTTTTCCAGTCAAATACAAACCATTCCCATTAAAAATTTTTTAATTTTTTTTTATAAAAACTTAAACTATAAAGATTTAATTGTAATTTGAAGAGTAAAGAGTGAAGACTAATAAAGATTTTTAATGGGGTTTCTGTCACCACCAATTGTTAAGAAACAAGACAGGTTCTATCAACATTTAGGTAGCAATTTACCCTGCAAATATTATAACATGTTGTAAAATATTCTAACATTATATCTGCCATTTTTTTTAACAAAGCTGTTGCTTGTGATTACTAATATAACTACTTTCCAAGTTACTTCCTAACCAATTTATATAGTCATGGACAAAGTTTTATCCCCAATCAATGCTTTTACAATCTTACATTTGAATGATTTGTACATTTTCTTACTAACCTGTCCTATTTTTATGTGATCCATACAATTTGATTGAGACAGAGAATTGTTACAGTTACAATCATTCTTATGCACAAATTGAATTGGATCACTAGTTGCAATAACCTGTAAAATAAAACTGTTAATTACCATGACTAAAATTCATATTTAAATCATTAAATTTAAGTTTCTATTACAATTGTTATTATAATAATGTAAATTTTATCATTTAAATATATAAATACTGTTAATTTAAAAAGCCAAAACAACTAATAAAAAGTGTACTAAATAATACAAATAATTTATGGCTTAAATTCAATGTAACCAAAAAAGTTAATGCTATTGCGATATTACAATTAAGATAATTTTAGTACAATAAATTATACTTAGTTTTAGTTTGTAAAATGGTCAATTAGTAAAAAGGTGGAATTTAATATTTTATGTTTATAGATTGGTAATTCTATATATATACATAAATATATTTTTAGTACCTTATTAAAAATAAAGCATTAAATTATTATTTGAACCTATTGAATTAAATTTATATGTATCAATCAAAATAATATTATTTGTATTTATTTAATACCTAAATTTGGTTACTATAAATATCTCTAATCTCAAACTAAAAATATTATTATTGATTTAACAGTTTTGCATTTTAATTCTTCACAGATATTTCCGGGAATAGGGAATTTTAGATTCTGAGCGGAGCAAAGAAGCTAGTGGTTTTACAATGGTTAATTTTTTTTTTTATCCTGCATACAAACTTTCTACCAAAAGTAGTGCTTTGATTTCAACATATAGTATCTTATCTTTTAGCAAATTAGATCAAGATGGTACTTTAAACAGATCATTTTACGATTTTCTCAATAATGATTTGATGCCACGGGAAAAACCCCCGACAAATTACAAAAAACCACTAAAAATGGGATTTTAATTTCTAACAATTTGTATATCACCTTAGCAACGAATAAAAAATGATAATATTATAATATTAATTCAACTTAAAGACTATAATAAATCATAAAAATTTAAAAAAATCCAGACTGATGAACCGTCTCCGCTCAGAATCGTTTTTCTTATACAATGATATTATATCACTGAATTCAATTTTAATACAATCCATTATGCATTGACCCATTTGTAACCTACTGTACAGCAGAGCGACATCCACTTACCCGCATTTTTTTATTATACAATTACCAAAATTATATTGGAACAAAATAAAGATTGTTTCAATCCCAGTAGGGTTTATACTTCATACCTAAAGTATATTATGAATATTTTTACTCCCATTTACCCAATATAAGTGTCTTTGGTAATATAAGGCATAGTTAAATTGTTTAGACCAATTTTAATATGATGTAAAATAACTTGATTTGAATCATGTTATTTGATTAAAATTGCTTTAAGTTTAAAACTGTTTGACTTGCAAATTATTATAAATATATAATATACATACATTTTCCTATTTGTTGTTATTATCAAACTAAATAATATGTAGGTATGAACAAAATAATTTATTTAACTATATAATATTTAAAATGATGAGTATTATTTATGTTATGATTATTACTGATGGGTCCCACGTAATAAATATTAAAAAGGTTTTAAGTGAAATAAATGTAGAACATGCCAAAATAATATTAGTAAATACAAGTTGAAGTTGTTTTACCTTAAAATAGGAATCCACGTACACAAACTGGTATTTACCAGAACAATGGATGGATTTAGCGAATAGTTGTGGTACAAATTTGATTTTATAACAACTACCATCTATCCTTGGATGGTCCATAACATATTCAAATATTAACGGTTCGTATAGTTTTACATTATCACACGGGTATAGTCCAATCCAATCTTTAAGCCATGGTCTAATTTTCTAAACATTAGTAAATAACAATAATTAAGTGACATTAATAATATATAAGCAGCATCATATTATTGGCAAGTACATTTCATGAGTAATCATTAAATACTCACCTTTTGATCGTAGAAACAGTTTACGGTTAGAAATTTGTCTTCGATGAAATAACGTTTATTCGTTTCCAATATCACAGCTGGTGATTCCATGTTTTTGGGCACTTGATTGATTCAAACAATATATTTAAAAATGGGTAGGCAAATAAGTGGATTTATATGATCAATATATATAATATATAAGTATGTACGTCGTGTTACATAATATAGAACGATTTAAAATTTATAGTATTTTTTTATACAAATAACAACGGAAAAATGTGTTTCATGAAGGTGTAAGTAGATGGTAGCCGGTAGGTACCTCCTAAGTTATTGTATTCCAAACAACTCTAGTTGACATAAAAACATTTCAAACATAACTGGTAACATTGACGGTAAATTGTAAATAGAGGGATATTTAAATTACTATTACACAGACGAGACGATTATTAAAATATTATTATGGGCAACTGGCGGGCGGAGCACTCACGGCCGCTGTGTGACGGTCGACGGACTGATGAAAATAAATTTGAAAACTTCCAAACGAATATTCATTATAGTCATTACGGTCAACGATGGCGCCCAGCTAAAGCCGTTATTATCTTATCGACATTAGACATTATGTGTATGAATTCTCCCCGCCAACGGTTTTTTTTTGTTTTGCACAATCCACACGAGTTTTAAAGATTTAATTACTAAATTCTTAAAATCTTATCGTTCCCGTCAGTTGATATATTATTATGAATTTATTAATAATAATAAGAGCCAGAAGATAATAATTCGGAATAAATTATAAATAATAAATGATAATTATCAAGCGATATAATATGACTTCGGTCGAAATGAATCCATGGTCTTCTGCATAATATTATACCAAAAATTTTAATAATCTACCCAATATCATGGTTAAATAATATTTTGAATTATGACAATAACAGCTTATAACACTACGATAGCACTATAGGTATGATTATAATATTATATTTCCTCGTAAATCGTAATCTTTAATTATCGGCCAAAGGTTATAGACTATAGTTATTTTAATCACTCACATTGATTAGTCACTACGTCTTACTCATTTTTTTTTTAGTATCTTACACAATTACACAAATATTATGGAAATTCAATATATTATATTTTATATATAATAAAATACAATTCGTGAACTTATTGTCTTATTGAATTGAAATATTAAAATATCGACATATCACAATTCACAGCAATACTGAGTACAGACGTCCAGCCAGACGTGCATTAGTAGTACCTACCTAGAGTAGTAGAGTGAGTAGGTCTAGACCATAGAAACCATAGAAAAAATACTCTAGACCTACATAGGCTCTAATAGAGTTTGAAATGTTGGGAGAGAGCTGAATCCCTAATATTGTGTATATTTTAATAAAAAGATTTAGGACATTTTTGGGTGGCTATTGAAACTTCTGGGGAAGCTTAGCCCCTAAACTCCATAGTCCCCGCCCCCCTCCCCCACCTATCGTGCCTAGTTTACCTAGTTTATTATTATAATTGACTGTATATTAGCCATAAAATATTATAAATTAAAATGTCTTGCAGTGTTTTTTAAAGTTAATGATTTTCTTTTCTTTCTTATTCCTTTTCAATAAAAACAAATTTAGTAGGTACCTATATATTATGGTATAAATGAGTAAGGACTAAAGGACCATACATTTTGTATTTCATATTCCGAAGCAGTAACAAAAACGTCCGCAGCCCCCCTGAGGATAAGGGCAGTTAGCACCGCCTTTGCTTTTTCTGGGTCAATTATTCTCCTATAATCATTATTAAGGCTGGGATTTTAATGTCCTGAAATAACTTAAAAAATTTACAACAATTCTGAATAATGCATTAAATTATTTTTATTTTTAATAATATCGATATAATATCTTAATAATATCGGTATGACGGTATAAATGATAATATTAATTTTAAAAGAATTGTAAAAAAGTTTTACAGACATATTATAGTTGTTTTGGACTTCTTTAATCTGAAAAATTGTTTTATTTTTTTTATAGGATCATATATTATTATTTATTTACCTGTACTTACATAATATAGTTTGTTAAATTTATATAAATAGGTAGTTATCATGTAAAAGCATCGGTGAATCTAGAATTTTTTTAAAGCGGGGCACATTGTTTATATTATAGTCAATTAATTATAAATTAATATACCTAAATTATAAAATATAAAAATAAAAAACAGATGTTAATACCTAATAATTACTATTCTAATTGAAGTTTTATTTTATGTTTTTTCGCAAATACCTATGTCCAATACCTTTAATGGGGTTACAGCTATATCTTTATTAATATGAAACATTGTTAGCATTATTATCTTTAAAAAATCTCGAATTAAGTTCCTATAAAACTATAAAAGGTATTCTAACTCTAAGTACTTTAAGTTTTAACATTCATTTTTTCTGCTATAATTATAGTTTGGTCAAAAATAATTTTTAATTTATTTATTCCAAATTATATCCTACTATACCTACATATCTTATACATATTTAATAATTAATAAACTTTATCATGTTTATAGCCTTCTATAGTCAATACTAATATTTTATAATTGAATAGCTAGAGGAAATATTATAGCTAAACATTTCCCCCCCCCCCGTGTTAAATTCTTGCAGACGCAATTGGAAGCAGAATTTCCGGAGAATTTTGATCTACTGCAGACATCAAATTTCTGCAGTTATAACTTATAAGGTATAATATCATATTATTATATGCTGTATAAACATTTAAAGTTTAGAATGTTTAGATTACCTTAGTGCCTTAGTAGAGTAGATGTCTGGGTGACGGAGTGGTACAGGGGTACTAAAATGTTGTCCACTACTCCGATAATCTAAAATTTAAATACCCTATAGCCAAATGAAGACATGAAGTAATGAACAATAAACATTATAAACTACTTCTCCAAAATTTGATTTTTATACATTGAAAACTCTGAATAATATTCTGCTTTGGAATATGAAATAGAAAATGTATGCTGTCTTTCAAAAAAGTAAATAGCTATAGTTATAAAAGCTTATTTTAACGATAACGTTAAAAAATAGTAAAACATATTTTCAAAAAAGTTAATATAATATAGATATATTATATGTAGTTAACTTTGTAATAAAAAATGAGAATCACAGGATCGTATTTATGTTTGGTGGGGTCCTTAGTATATAAATCTCTTTATTTGCACCTCCCTCCCCCACCCACAAAAAAATTAAATTGTAATCCGACAAATATCGTAAAAATTTAAACTTTTAACTATTCTAAAAAAGAATTGTGTCTATTTAATATGTATATTCGATATTATTTAAATGAATATATTTTTGTTACAATAAGGTATATACATAATTTTTTCTGACCGATATCAATATGGTGGATCAATATGAATGGACATATTAGTTTATTTTATAAAAAATATAGTACAAGACTATATAGTACCTATAGGCTATATGACGTAGTAAAACTGTATAGATAGGTAAGGTCTATGGTGCAAGTAGGTACATACCTATATAGTAGCATTGATTTTATAATATCAATGATAGAAGTAAAGTGGCCCAGTCCGCCCTTGCTCAATATAACCTACTATAAAAATAATAATATTCTAATTATTGATGTACTTCAACAGATCTACGATTTTATAGTAATTATTAATTATTACTAATTATAGGTAACTACTATTCATTCCTAATAAATAAAAATATCTATGGGAATTTTAACCAAAAATATAATTAGGTACATACATAGATATCGGTTTTGGTCTCACAATTCCTGAAAAAATTGTTTAGCTTTGGTCCCAAGATTTCTAATGGATTTTGTATAAAAACCTATCTGTTTCGGTTCGAACCATCTCAAGAAGGTACTCTATGGTTGCAATCGTTAGTCGTCTATATGGTGTACCTAACAGTAGGTACCTATATATAGAGTGTACCTCGTCATAGAGTAGGTTATAAAATGTTAATAATATTAAACTCGAAAATTGTCTTTATTTCAATCAAATTAATACATTTGTCACGTTTTGATAATTTGATAACACTTCTGAACTAAAACTAAATTTATATATGTTTTCTTTGTTTCAACCATCTGACTCCACTCCGATAGTCCGATCCGATGATCACTGCAGTAGACTCCTTTTTTCACAATGTCCGATAACGACAACAATCGTAATACCCCAAAGCAAAATACAAAGATTTACTAGTTTGTAAATTGAAACATTATTGTGATTAAATCACTTACCGGAAGCCCAAAGGACTTCCAACTATATAGTCCGTAATTGCTATAGAAAGCTGCGATGAGATGGGCTCTCCAGGAAACCTGTTACTAAAGTTGAAATAAAATTTAAAAAAAATATATAAAATATAAGTTTAATGTTTAACAAATAGTCGTTCAAAAATTCCATACCGGAAGTAATTTGGGCTTCCGTTGTCCACGCATAAAACCACATATAGGTACGCGCATGGTACTGCACATGCAACTGGTCTAAACTCAAAGTGCATAATAAGTACAGACATGTACTGTACTGTACTGTACATGACATGTGCAGTGGAAGGTAGTGAACCACGAATTCCGCAATCGTATCCTACTAAAAATTGTGCAGGGGCGCAGGGCGTCCAGTAAAGAGCAAACATCAACCAAATATTAGACATTTCTAAAACTTTAAGTCACGTAGTTGTGCTAATTATCATATTATATCTTTGTTCTGTTTGTATAACATAATTTGATCAAGTCTTTATTGGGCGTCATGTACATATTAGTATATTATAATATTATATATAGTACCATTGATTAAATATACTATAATTGATATATATAGTACCATTGATTAAATATACTATATTTAATATAATATAATATATTTAATCAATGATAGTACCTATATACACAAAAGTGAAAGGCCTAGCGAAACTACGGTGAACTAGGCGATAGCATTGATTTTCAAATACAATTAAAAAAAGTATATATTTTAAAATATACGACCTGACGAATATTCCATATAATAGTATAATGTGTTGACATCATGAATACCTGCTTGTACTGTTGAACCTACAAAATTATGTGGAAGGCTTCCAGTTAAAACCGAAAATCAATATCAAATATTTG